ACAATTCATTTCTAAGATCGTTGTGATACTAAAAGCAATTTTCAGTTGTGTTTCCAAAATCCCCCAATAATAATCGTCGATTAATTTTTTAAATCTTACTCATCCATCGTAGAAAATTCTATCTTACTGATCCATCGTAGAAAGGTTTAGGCGATAGCGTGCTGTCTGGACAAAACGAAGAATAATATGTGCTTCATGATGTCATAAAACTTTCATCGTCCATCATAAAAGCGAATGCGTACATCTTAGCAGATTCATATAGGACTATCGTCTTTATGCGAACAATAAATTTCATATGTCTTGCAAAATATGTGAACAATTCTTACGTTATATAAAGCCAATTAAACAAAACTGAATGTGAACAATGCGCAATGTCATCATTTTATATTGAGCAGATCGCAAGATAAATTGCGAATCAGCAGAGGACGTGCAGTTCTCTGAACGATTTCTCATAATCAGACACTGTCGTGATGATACGACTTCGAGGCGTCAAATTTTCCAATTTATGCACATTCGAGCAATTTTTTGTGCTCTTTATAAATATCTTCATTTCAGGCAATTATTCAGGATAGGTTATTGCGCGTTGAACAACATTATTTCAAATATTTTCAGATGTATGAAGCGTATGCTGAAGCCGAGATATTTGATCCACGAATAGAGCTGAAAAGAGCAAAGAATTCAATTGAAGCGTATTTGAAGCGAAGAGCAAAAGCTGCATGGGTTAGTTTGCAGTTTTGCTGAGATAAACGGCATTATTTAGAAACTCTTACATATCGCCTGACAAACTCGTAATTTGTCCAATAAGACAATTTCGATTTTGAGCAGAGCCTTCTAATCGTTTGTCTTTTTTTTTAGGATGCAAAATTATCGTTAGAATCTCGAATGATTGCAAATTTGAGTGAAGAAGAAGTGAATGATCCAATGTCGATGAATTTCGTGCGTTTCATGTCGGCAAAGGGTGAATCGGATATGGCACGCGTTTACGCACACAATCATCATGGTGTTTTCACTGAGGTGCTCGCTGTAACATCCATATTACTTCATGGAATTTACTTTTTGGTTTTTCAACCTGATTTTGTAACTTTACAGCTGCTTAGAAACAATATTGCTGCCACTGGAATTATTTGCAAACGATCGATGAGATTTGTTTGCAAAGTTAAGAACTGAATGAAATGTGGAGCATCAGTTTCAGGTGAACGCCACTAGGATATTTAATTTCACACCGAATGCCAACTTCTACGGCATAGCGACTAGTTCGATTTCATCGGCTGTTCATATTCCGACACCAGTGTATGAGCGAAGTATGTTTTTGAATGATTTTATCATTTTCAGCTCTCACGTCACACAATATGCATTGTTATCGAAACGCACAGTTCAATAGAACTGTTTAGATTTGATAATTTAAACACTCAAAAGTTAATGCAATTGGGAATATGTACATAAAAGGAGACGGATTTGCAATTTGGTCAATAAATGGATGTTGTTTATCCCCTTAGTAAACATCGAGATTATGAAATACGGAGGAAAAGAAACTGACATGTACACTGGTCACTAGTATACCTAAAACTTGTACCATGGAATATGCTCTTTGACTACAAAATGAGCAGGTTCTGTCTCAAGGCGGAGCAGTTGGGATGTACACCTGAAAGGTAATATTTTCAGATGCTGACGTTCTGCTCAAAATTGATTGGTCAGATATTGACCAACTGTATCGTGCAAATAGGGAGCACACGAGGGATTTAGCGTTCCAGATGTTTTGCTCTGAGTCCGGTTTCTTACGCTATTATCCAGGTGCTATTTCATTATTGGCCACAATCCTTTGAATCAGATCGCTCAACTGTTCCAAATTTTCATTAATAGTACCATATCAAATTTCTTATTGGGAATTGTTGGAAATCAAACGACATCAACTTTGAAGCACCCGAATGAAGCAAAGAAAGCGATTTTTTGACTAATTGTAAGATAAATGTGATAACACTCTATCAAATTCAGCTGTTTCGTGGATTTGGGATAGCAAACCGGATCAATTGGACTTATTCGACTGCAGAAATACAGAATGGTGAATTACTTGTTGTGTATTGACAGCTCCATCGAGAACGAAATCAGGAGCTAGTAAATTTCTGGTCAACCGATTTTCGGAAAATCACAGTTTTTGCTTGAGAATAGAATTCTATCTAGATAGTCAATAATATGCTGAAGTACTTACTGATTGAATCGACTTACCATGTGAAATCAATGAACACACGACTGGCTGCACTCGAATAACGCGAGCCAATTTTTCAGGTTCATAAATGGCGCTACGTTGTCGAAAAATGTGATAATAATGCTCGATTTGTCGGGTTCGATGCTCGGGCAACGCTTTGAAATTGCCAAACAAACTGTTGAGGCAATTCTGGAGACACTCTCTGACAACGACTTCTTCAATATCTTACCTGTAATGCTCTTGATTCGATTTTGCTCTATCTGAATCATTTGATCAGTTATTGCTCAATGAGCGATTATTCATGACTCGGATGTTTTGAAGTGGAACCGTGCTCATTCGATTTCGTCCTTCTCATTTGATAAATGTGACTTGAGTTTCAGTTCTCTAAAACTGCCGCATTCTTAGACGAATGCGCCGAACAGGCTGGATTACTTCAAGCCACCATGCGCAACAAGAAGGTATTTCCATTGAAAAAGTCACCTTCACATCTGTCACGTAGAGTCATATTGTATATGAAAAGTTTCCTGTGATAGCTATCAGCATAAACTGTTTTTGACTCTCACTTCAAACTTCGAGGAATTGAATCGATGGATCGAACTAAAAGATTCGGATTCTCGTGGTAGTTATTCTAGCTTGTCGTTGTAGCCCATGTTCATTTGATAGTTAAGAGTCATGAATAATACCCGTTACAGCTGTTGAGAGCACGATTGAACGGTCTGACTTCTGAGGGTAAAGCTGAGTACGAGAAAGGTCTGGTGAAAGCCTTTGAAACACTCATGAAGGTGAGCTGTCTGTTCTGCTACGTTTCACTTGTTTACCAGCAATAAAATTTCGACATTTTGACAATCAAGTTTCATTACAAACGTTTCATTTTTTACAATCGAAGTGATTTACAATCACTTCGTTTTCTCAAAAAAGCCTCCAGAATGGTTTTCATGTAAACGACCGTGCAGTCATAGCCATCCAAAAGTTATCATATAATGTACCAGTAAATTCAGTATTATCGCAATCGTCATGCACCCAGTTTTGCTTCATGTAACACGCTTAATAAGCCTCACACGCTTTGCTTTCACACGACTAACACGCAATCTAACGTTATGATTTAATGAGCTGAAAGGAGTTTCATGCTGCGCCTCTGTTTTGCTATCGTCAACAACGTTTTGCAACGCTTGGAGATT